TGAAAACCTGATAAAGGGTCAGTTAAGAATTGGTTGTTTATGAAGATGATAATTGTTTCAGTTATGTTAAAAAAGCTAAACAGATGATCTCAAAGGGCAACTTGAGAAGACAAAGTAAAATATTTTAATGAAATGTATAAGACCTGGAGTTACAAAATCAGAAGGGAAAAGCATGCTTGGCATTTCTAAAGCTAAAGGAACTTAAGAAAAATTCTGGCCTTGAGTTGAAATGCTGAAGGATTCTATTGACAAAACATTAAACTATGCAAGAAGCATTACAAGAAGATGGAAGGGACTGCTGAGAAGTTGGCACTTCCCTGAACCTTTGTATGTTCAGGCAGGAAAAGATGCCTTCCCCATTGGCCCTTGGAAGTGTGTGGCTCCAAACTTTAACAGGTGGCCTGAATTGGGAGGTGTGTTGCTGAGAAGTTTGTGCTTCCTTGAGCCGTTGTCTGCTCAGGTGGGAACAGCTGTCCTCACAACCAGTCATTACTGGAGAGGAGATACAGGTATGCTTGGACATTAGCAAGTTGCCAGAATTGGAAGCTGCATTGCTAAGAAACTGGCCATTCCCTGAACCTTTGTCTGTTCAGGTAATAAAAGCTCCTCTCTCAACCAGAGGGAACATGGCCATCAGCAACTAATGGGGGCTGCACTGTTGGGACCTAGAAACTTTCCTGGGCCTCGTCCTTGGGCAGTGCTTTTGAGACTTTGCTTATCCTTGTGGGAAACCTCCTCTTACTCCACCAAACTACAGGATGGTCAGAGAAGCAAGCCCATCACAGCTAGGCAAAGGGGAATACCTCAGCTCTTTGCCCCTCAAAGAACAATCAGATGAGATGCTTGCCACAAGAAACAGGGACTAGATCTTCCCATATACAACCAATAGGGAAGAATGCCACTGGGAAGCTCATTCTGAGGCAGCACTTTAAGTCTGTAATTTCTCAATAGCACCATAGATAAGAGTTTCACATAATGTCAAGGAAGTAGTAGGCAGCTTCAAACATTATGGAAAAAAACCAAAAGAAGCCTTCTCCTAAAACAACAGATCAGATTGCAGACCAAATATAGACCCCAGAGACAGACAGGTAGAAAAAGCATTGGTGTGGAGTTATATGAACAGCTACTGAAGAAGTTAAAAATGATGGGAGAAAGAATTGAAACCATAAATAAAATAGTACAAGAATTTTTTAAAAAATCATCATCACAAGACAGAAAAAGTACAATTAACACAGTTCTGGAAATAAAAGAAATGCATGAAAATACAATCCAGATTGTGGAGACCATAATGGCAGTATTTTCCAAATTGCTGGAGAGGTAAAAAAGCAGAATAGAAGATATGGAACAAAGAGCCAATGAGCTAGGAGACAAGAACCTCAAAGGGAATTTACTAGAAGAAAAACAGAGAGAAGATGGAAGGAAATAAAGAAAACATATGAATCGTGTGAAATAACATCAAACAGAAGAACATGTGTGATAGGAATTCCAGAAAGGGGTAGGGGTGGGGAGAAAAAAAGCACTGAGAAAATTGTGGGGAAAGTATTAGAAGAAAAGTTTCCAGATAACATGAAAAATGAGGAAGTCCACATTCAAGCTCAGCAAACTCCTAACAGACTATACCACAAAAGAAAAACATAAAGACATATAGTAGTCAAATTCTTCAAAATCAAAGATAAGGATAGAGTACTAAAAGTGGTATGAGCAAACCAGAGTCACCTTCATTGGAAAACCAATTAGAGTAAGCTCTGATTTCTCAGTAGAAAACACACAAGCAAGAAGACAATGAGATGGCATATACAGAAAGGTAAAAGAAAACAATTGCCAGCTGAAAATTTTGTACCCAGCAAAGCTATCAAATATAAAGAAGAAATTAGGTATTTTGCTGAAAAGCAGAAACTTAAGGAATTTATGAAAACAAGACCAACTTCACAAGAAATACTAAGGGAAGTCCTTCACACAGAGACAACAAAGGAAAGAGGATGGGCCAAAGTAACCAGAAACAACAGAAAAAGAAATACAATAAAATGATAACGAGAAAACCTACTGGTCAATAATTACACTTAAAGTAAATGGCTTAAATGTACCAATTAAGAGGAAAAAAAATAGCAGGCTGGATTAAAAAAAAAAAAAGCCCATCAATATATTTCCTACAAAAGATACAAAAGAAAGGAGAAGAAAGACTAAAAATCAAAAGGTAGAGAAAATATACAAAGCATCTATATGTAATACAATCCATAAGAAAGCAGGAGTAGCAATACTAATCTCTTGATAAAATAGATTTCAGAATGAAAATCACCATAAAAGATAAAGACACTATATAATGATCAAAGGTACAATCACAATAGCTGACTTTAACACACCACTCTCAACAAAGAACAGGTCAACTTGAAAGAAACTCAACAAAGATACAGAAGAACTAAACTATACATTTAGCCAACTAGGCCTCACAGATGTATTTAGGGTACTTCATCCAAATAAAATTCAATTTACTTTCTTCTCAGGTGTACACAGCACATTCTCCAGAATGGAGGTCCACGTAGTCCCAAATACTTGACCTGCCATATAAGTCTATGATTCCTGATATTAATAGTTCCTCCTTTTCTCTGTTTCCTAGGTCCCTTATGTCCCTTGGGCTTGGTGATACACTAGAAGGTCTCCTAGAGACTTAGACACACTAGGGGAATGACTCAGGTGACCATAGGTAGCAGGCTGGTTTTGGAGAAAATGATGAGTGATGGGCCAGGTTCCTGTAGACCACTGGTTATAGCATTGCTAGATGTTGACTGTGGGTGATGCAGGCTAGCAGTGTAGAGACTGGCGAGCAGCTGAAAGCTATGTCCCAGGTGAGTGGGCTTCTCCAAAATAAAAAGATGCCTGGTGCCGAGGTCCCATGAGCTGATATAAGCCTTTAGAAGGGTGGAGCTTATATCCCATCCTAATCCTCTCTCCTTAATACAGTAATTACTTCAACACAAAATAAATAGTTATTCATTGGCTAGAGAAGACATCTGAGTGATAAACCTTAGATACACAGAGATTCCCATTCTTCTCAATGTTAGTCATAATTTGTTGTGATCCACACAGTCAAATGTCTTTTCATAGTTGATAAAACACAAGTAGATGTTCTAGTACACTCTGCTTTCAGCCAAGATCCATCTGACATTAGCAATGATATTCCTAGTGTGACTGCCTCTTCCATATCTGTCTTGTATTTATAGCACATCTCTCTCAATGGATTATTCTAGCCATTTTTAAATAAGCTTCTTAAAAAATATTTTGTTTACATGGGATATTGATGATATTGTTCAATAATTTCCACACTATGCTGTATCACTTTTTTGAGAATGGGAATAAATATGGATGTGTTTCTAGTCTGTTGGCTGGGTAGTTGTTCTCCATATTTCTTGACATTACCTGGACAGCACATCAAGGGATGCATCAGTTTCTTGAAATAGGTTCATTCTTAGAGGCTTATTTTTTGGCAATGCCTTCAGAGCAGCTTAAACTCCTTAATTACCCCTGATTCTTGAACATATGAACGTCCTAACATGGTCTCGTGTCAGCCATTTTTTTGGTATAGTGACTCTGTATATACCTTCCATTTTTTTTTTATGCTTCCTAGATCATGCAGGGTTTAGTCCATAGCATGTTTCAGTATTGCAATTCCATAAAAAATGGATAACATTGAGAAGAATGGGAAATCTAGAACACTTACTTGTGCTCATGTGGAACTACATGAACCAAGAAGCAGTGATTCAAATAAAAAATATTGCATAGCTTAAAATAGGAAAAAGTGTGTGCCACAGTTCTAACATTTATTTCTCCATACCTATATAATAACAACATTCAATCTGTATGCCAAACATATAATCCATGAAGCTGGGCTATATGAAGAAGAATGTGGCAACAGGATTGGAGAAAGACTCATCAACAATTTATGTGACAAAACTTTGCCTGCTGAAAGTGCTCAGGACGTGAAGAACTTACTGAGGAAGATCAAAGACAGCCTTCAATACAGATTACAGTTCAAAATAAAGGGGGGAAAATCCTTACAACCAGATTTAAAAAATTTATGAAAATGAAAAAAAGATTGTAGTTGTCAGTGATTTAATATTACTTGAATACTGAACCCCAATGGCAGCAGCTTAGAAGTTAAATGACATAAAACAATGGGCAAACCTGCTGCAAAAGACCTCTTTAAAGCATTCAAAAGCAAAGGTGTTGCTTTGAGGACCAAGGTTTACCTGTCCTAAGCCATGGTATTCTCAATAGTCTCTCAAGTATGTGAAAGCTGGAAAAGATATATGGGAAAGGACTTAATGCTTTTAGATTATGGTGTTGGCAGAGAATATTGAGTATACCATGGACTTCCAAAAGAACAAGCAAATCTATTTTGGAAGATGTACAGTCTTTAGAAGCAAGGATAGTGTGACTTTGCTTAATGTACTTTGGACATGTTATAAAAAGGAGGGACTGGTCCCTCAAGAAGGCCATCAGACTTGGTTAATAAAGATCAGCAAAAAAGAGAAAGACCCTCAGTGAGATGGACTGACACAGTAGGTGCAACAAGGGGCTTAAACATATAGCAATCATAAAGACAGCTGGAACTAATGATGGAAGAACAACAACAACATCTAAGTAACAGAACATTGATTTTTCTATAGTCTTCACATGTATAGTTCAGTAACATTAATCATGTTGTTCAATGATCATCATTTTTTGTATCTCTTTTTTTAATTCCAATAAATCAGGACCTTTGGTCCTATTTTGGTTTGAATCTTTGGCATAGACTTCTGTTGAACTATTTTTTTGCAGAAATGACTTTGAAACTATTGGTTCTTCTTTATCATGAGACTCTATCATGAGGTATTAATGCCTATATCCCATCTTTGTATACAAGATAATATTTATTTTTGTATACAAGATAAATATTCAAGAACAACAAAAACACTCTTTAAGTGATTCAAGATGAAATATACAAAAATTAATGGTAGTTTTACCTCCAGTTTTTCATTATAAAAGTCTCTTGTGGTATAATTCAATGTAGCACGATTTGTGTTTTCTCCCACAAGTCTTTTACTATCATTATTTTCTTCAATGATAATGCCTGGTTTTTTCCCTTTGGTTTCTAAAAGATACCGAATTTGCTTCTTCCTAGAAAGACAATAAACAAATTTACAGAGTTACTTATGAAACTTATTAAAACGTCTATTTTTGGTTGACTTTAGAGGGGATATGTATTTTTCCATTTTCTTACAGTTTGATGTTGTGTACCATAGAGTGAGACTGACCCACAACTGACCTCCAGAGGGTTTTTAGGGGCAGTTAATTGAACGGAAGGAAACAGACCATCTTTCTCCCTAGTGGCCTCGAACTGTGTGCTTTTGGGATTGCACTGCAGTTTCTTGCCACTAGGCCACCCAAGCTCCTCCAGGATATGTATTTTTAAGACTATCTACTTTTGTGAGTTTGAGTTTAACATTTATTTGAACTCAGTTAAATATTTCAATCTTTCTATTAATTAGACCACTCAATCCAATTCTTTTGTTTAACAAACACCAACCATTCCAGAGCACACAATAACCCAAGTAAAAATATAAAGAGCCAAACGTTAGTCCATATTTCCTACAAAACACATGTTAATTAACTTTCTATAAATCACACAGGTAATTCACAATACTGCTACTTAGTAGTACTTATTATGTAGTTTTTCTCCTAGATAGAAAATAGAATGAGATATTGCTTTAAAGTTTAGACAACACCAGAACAAACTCCAAACAAGGTTCTCTATATCTCAGCACATCAACGCAAAATCTTTGTGAGAGCTAAATAAGAAAACAGAAAGCCTCATTTAATTATTCAGAAGGACATAAATAACACCTTTAGTATCTTAGTCCCTTAAGCCCAAACTGCAGAACACTGCAACTTAACCTCCACCAAGGGTTCCCCTAAGTGAAGGCTATCAGTACTTTATAATAAACCATGAATGGAAGATTATGAGAAGAGCTGTATCTTTTTTTTTTTTTTTATTTTGTGTGCGTGTACTGTCAAATCGGATCTGACTGGTACAGGAGGATATTGCGCCTCCTTCTCCGGCAGAGCATCTGGTGGATTCCAACCGTGTTCCTCTGGGTTTGCAGTGCAGCTTCTTGCCACTAGGCCACCAGAGCTCCCCTAAGAGCTGTATCTTTTAAAAACATTTCCTCTGTGATTTAAATATTTAACACAATCATTTAAGGAATTTTGGAAATGTACAAATTTTGAAAAGTATAAATAAATGGACAAAAATAATTTATAGATACACAAATCCATATAAATCTACAACATTGCTCATATGTGATATATTTTATTTCTAAGCTTTTTAAATAAATCTTCACAAAAAGTTAAAGTTGTAT